ACTTGTTGTGCCCATAAAGGTGTGCCATCCCAAACCTTACGGAGCAGAACCACTCTGTTCCTTAGGGTCTCCGTGAGCCAGAATCGACTTGGTGGCCGTGGAGTGGGTGGTCAGTCGCAGTTGCCCTGACACACACAGCATTGGTTCCTAATTTGCATTTCTTCTCCCTGCTGCCTTCTTGCTTCTTGTAGACACGGATGGGTTAGCCCAGCCCAGCTGAGGACGGGGCAGTCGGGGCCGGAGCAGGTGCGGTGGACCTGGCTCTGCCTCTCATCTCTTCCTTCAGGTGAGTCCTCACTATGCCCAGAGCAGGGGCTTATGCGAATCCCTTGCCCTCACTTTGGGGCCCTGGCTGGATTGGGTTTAAAGGATCAAAGGGCAAGTGGGAAGGGAACAGCAATGACCTGCTTTGTGGACTGGGTCTCCTCTAAGGAGTTGCCCCAGCCCACACAAGAACCCTGGAGACCTGGATTCCAAAGCACAGGAGCCAGGGAAACTGGACCTAGAGCTAGAGACCACAAGGGTGACCACCCGGGTCTCACAGGAAACCCAGGTTTTCAAGAAGCAAAGCTGGTGAGGAAGATGGGGTGGCAAGGACTGATGAAGGCTGCTGTGTCCCCGTTTCTGACCTCATCCCTTTGCTTCGAGGGGCTTGCTTCCTGCTTCCTGGGACCCTACAGTTCCTTCCGAGATTAGGGTTCCCAGATGCTGCAGTGTGGAAATTCCTTCCTGAGGGCTTGACTGACCGGGGACTGTGCTTGGGTGATGGATGGAGAGTTGTGTGTGAAGAGGCTTCCTCAGCAGGTCCCTCGGATAGAGGCTAAGGTTGGCAGAAGGAGGTCACTTTGGAAGCATCTCTGTTTCTTCTCCTCATCCCCAGATGGGTGAGCCCCGCTGGGGAGCCAGTGAAGCTGGGGGAGTAACCCTTCAGGGCCGTTCCGCCAGGAGCCTGCCTGCTGAGTCTGTCTGGAAGGGCCGCTCTTGAGGGGTTGGTGGGTGAGGGGAAGGAGAAGGCACGAGGTGCAGCTCAGACAGAGAGGAGATGTGGCCTGTCTGGCTCCTGGGCGGATTCCTGGGTTAGAATCCACACACTGCCAGGACCTTTCTCCCAGTGTGCCAGACCTTCCATCCAGTCGGCGGCCAGTTCCTGGTTCCTGGCCCGCTCTATGTAAATTGCCGGCTTGGGAAAGGAAAATTTCCCCAGGCGGCATGAGCTGCCTCCCCTCTTCCGTGGCTGGTTTTCTTCACATTCAGATTCTAGAATCTGCAGGGTGTGTGGTGGGAGCTGCGATTTTTATGGATTCTGTGTGAGTTTGTGTGCATGTGTGAACAGAGCCGATGGCACACGTGATTTCTGAGCCTGGATCGGGGACCCGTAGGGTTCTGAATGGAAGCCAGCAATGCCCTGCAAAGCCAGCTGTCTCTACCATGTCACTCGGGACGCTAGCACCTGTTCCTTTGCTCTCCCAGGAGCCCGTGACTAGAGACTCGAGTCCACTGTGGCTTAAGGTGATGGAGAGCCCAGGGCAGGCCCAGCAGATGGAGGATTGGGGGGCAGATCCCAGTAGGAAAGGCTGGGCTGTGTGGGGCTGCTCTCGTGTCCCTGAGAGAACGATAGAGCAGGGGCCGTGAGGGGACGAAGACAGGCGCCCTTTTCTGTCTGCACACATTGGGAGTCCAATGAGAGAGAGACGCAGGCAGAAGGCAGGTTAGGTAAAACAAACACCTGCGGGTGGGTGTGGCTCAGTCATGGGCCTCACCATCACAGCGGCTGCTGCTGCTGCTGTGACGGGCTGATGCCAACTCCAGGCGACCCCACAGGGCAGAACAGAACTGCCCTGGAGGGTTTCCCAGACTTTAATCTGCCTGGACACAGATGGCCAGCTCTTTCGTCTTACAGAGCAGCGGCTTCAAACCACTGACCACTGGGTTATTCTGACTCAGAATATGCCCTGCAGGACATAGAACTTCTCTCCTGGGGTTTCTGTTTGCCTTCTTCCAATGACATGGGCAAAGGGAGTTTTATTGGCACATCATTCACATATCATACAATTCAGGAGTCCAAGCCAATGACTTAAACAAAGAAACTTATTCTTAGGAATTCGGTGGGAGTTTGCATTTCAGATCATTATTTTTTTTTTGTTCAACACAACAACTTCTCAAACCTCCCAAGAGCTTGCCCCGCCCCCTCCCCACTCCTTTTCTCTCTCGCTCCCCTTGTGATGTGCCGTCTTGCACGTATGAGCTGACACCTCTCGCTCCTCTGGCTTATTGCTCCCTCTCTCCTCCCTCCCCTCCCAGCCCTGATCACCTGGCTTTTGGCATGACCGACCCTTGATCTCGCTTCTCTTCTTCTTCAATAGCAATGGTCTCAGACAGTGCGGTTCTTTTGGTGACTCAGGCACGTCACGAGCGTAATGTCCTCCAGCCCCATCCCCGCAGGAGGCATGCTGTAGTTTCGCCATTATTCTTCGGTGACTCGCAGTAGTCCAGTGGGTCTGTACCGAAGCTTCTCCATCCACTCTTCCCTGAGGGCCATGCCGGTGTCTCCTCTTCTTGCTGTTGCAGCTCACGAAGGACGGGGGTGTGGATTTGTCGGTTCCTGCCACGGCTCTTACTTTTCTAGGGCATACTGCAAGGAGAGCAGCTGCTGGGTGGCTGCACATCTTCATGGAGGCAGGCTGCCTTATCGTTAACAGCCCCCCACCCCCACCCCATAGGACCACCAGCTCCTTGACAACGCTTACAGAGCCTCATAGAACAGTGTGGGTTTTAAACAGGATGCAAAGAACACACCTGTTTAAAGCAAGGAGTGGGCCTGTTGACCTTCCTCACGTACCTTCCAGCCGGAGCGCCAGATTCCTTGGCTGGAACAGGGCGTGTGGACACTCCCAGAGGATGGAGTCCGTGGGTGGGGAACCAGGCAATAGGCCACAGCTGAGGCTGCAGTGTGGAGACCCGGAGCCTGAGTCCCTTGCTGCAGAGCCGGTGGCAGTTTGTGTGTTTATGAGTTGGTGGGAGATGGGACCAGGGGTCTTCTCTGAGGAGAAAACCCTAGAAGCCAAAGGAGTAAAGGCCTTGCCTTCTCTCACTCCTCGAGCCCTGATCTGCCCTGCGGAGAGGCACTGAGGACCCCTTCCAGGAGCATTCTCTGAGTCCTACTCCTTTGGCAAGGTACTGAACGGTGGGAGGCTGAGACTGGGGTCCCAAGGCCCTCCTCAGTTTTCCCCAGTGCCTTAGTGTACTGCTGCCCTAACAGAAATACCAGCCGTGCAGGTATCAGCAAACACAAACTCTGTGCCCTCACGGTTTAGGAGACTGGAAGTCTGAATTTAGGGTGCTGGCTCTCAGGGAGCGTTTTCTCTCTCTGCCGGCTCTGGGGGAAGGTCCTTGAGCCCTTTCCACACGTGTGGGCCTGCAGTCCTTGGTGACCGCTATCCTTCTCTCCCTGGTTCTAGGAGGCTCGCGGCACAGGAACCTGGGGTCAGAAGCCACACTCGGTTCCTGGCTCTTGTTTTCTAAGTGGTGCCGAGATCCCTCCCTCTCTGCCGCTTGCTTTTCCCTTGATCTTTTGTGAGATAAAAGGTGACGCCTGGCACACCCTAGGGAAACTCCTCTTCCTTATGTAACTGCCAAACCAAGAGAATCCTGGCCTGGCCAAGTTGACGTGTATTTTAGGGGGGCACAGTCCAAACCACCACAACAGCCACCAGGCTTGAGAACTCTCCATTCGTCTCATGTAGTCAAGATGGCCTAAGACATGCCGTGTCTCGCTGTGCCCCGAGAAAGGACGTCTGCAGACCGTGCGAGAGGACACGCGCCCGGAGAAGTGCCAGGGCATCTGGTGTAGTGGCTGGATTCCCTAGGTGATCCACACAGTGTAGGTGCTCAACTGCCAATGGAAAGCTTGGGGGCTGGGGGTCTACCCAGAAGTGCCTTTGGATGAAGCCCTGGCAACCGACATGTAAGAGGCCACAGCCATGGACAACCTATGGGCCATGGTTCCGCCCTGGCACACACAGGGCCCTAGGAGTGGGGATCTACACACCAAAGCTAGACTAGAAACTTTGTTCTGGCAGAAACTGCACCTGGCAGTGGGCATGGTTGGGTCTCAGGGCTCCCAGCAGAACTACCCGGCATGGTGCCCTTCAGCAAGAGCAGTAGGCAGCCCCCTCCTCCCACTACTGGCCCTGGGCTCCTCCCTTGCTGGCCCAGAATCTGCAGGCGGCCAGCGCCACTGGAGGGTGTGGCCCTGCACGCCCCACCCTTTGACTCTGAAGCACTGTGTGGCCCTGACCCCGGCCCCATCTGTTGGCAGCTGTGCAGGCTGAGTTTGGTGCCTGGTGCCTGCTTGGACACTGTTGCCAGCTGGCTCAGCCGTCAACATGTCATCTTCTTTTACCAGCTGGCGCCCTGTGCCTTTTGGGGTCTCTTGCACACAACCCCGCTTGATCTTCTTGAGAATTTTGGGAAACTTTGTGGGGTCGAACCTGCGTGTACTTCAGAATGGGCTGGGGGCTTCCGACACAGCATGGGGGCAACCCCCCCTACAGAATCAGAGCCTCCTGGTTAGGGGCAGGAATGCATACGTTTAAAAACAACTTTCCAGATGACCATTGTGGTCATTTGAAGGTGGACTCTGTATTTGGTAACAGCGTTCTGTCAAGGTTAACTTCTGTGGGCGTGCTAATGGCATATCGTGTTTTATGGGAGAATGCCCTAGTCTTTAGAGACTCAGGCTGAAGTCCTAGATGAGAGATGTTCGCAGTTTACTTTCAAATGGCTAAAAACACAGAGACACACAAACACACCTGTACACACAGATACACACACACAGAGACAGACAGAAAAGCAATTATGAGGAAATGTTAGTAAATTGGTGCTTGCAGGTGGTGACGGGAAGCTGGCCGGAAATGACCTTTCAGATCACTTCCATCTGCTAAGAGATGGACATTAGAAAACATAGCCCAGGCTGCCAAGGAGGAGGCGCCTGGTGGCGCAGTGGTTATGAGTTGGGCTGTGGGCCGAAAGGTCAGTGGTTCAAAACCACCACCATCTTTTGGAGAAAGATGGGGCTTTCTACTCTTATCAAGAGTTACAGTCTCAGAAACTCACAGGGACAGTCCTGCCCTGTCCTGCAGGGTCACCGTGAGTGGGCATCCACTCGATGACAGAGTTTGGTATTGATTTGGGGCTGCCAAGGTGCGTAACTCCAGGGGGCCCCATTCACCTGTTTTTCTGTGTTGTGCTGGGCTGTTATTCACATGGAGGGGCACAGGGTGTGTG